TGCTGCATTTGTTTTAGCAGAAGAAAGGATAAAGTACCCAAACTTTGGAGTTACCAATAATGCATCAGAGTCATTAAATAAAGTTTTTAAGGATTTTATTGATAACAAAATAACAAAAATGGACTCTTGCATTTTTTATGAATTATCTGAGTGTCGATTTTTAAAGAGAAGTTGAAAAAGGATGCTATAATGTTGGTTTGTATCAGTTGAGTGATGAGTTTTTCTTTATGTTAAGATCAAGAGATGAACTTAACGCTAATCAAATCATCCTACCAGATGATATAATCATATAAAAGAAACTGAAATACATCACAAAGATCATAACTATATATCTTCTTCTTCATCTTCCATGGAGATGTTAGTTTCAGTTTATTTAAGTTCCATGGATATGTTGGTTTCAGTTTATTTAAGTTCCATGGATATGTTAGTTGAAAAACCAATTAAAAGTGAACTTCCAAAACTTGTTTATTTAATATCCTCATTAGCAAAGGATATATTTAATAAAAATGGAGTTGTATTTGTTCCTCAACATCGAAGTTGGTCAGTGAAAAAATCAGAAACAAATATTCATTCTGTCAATTTGAATCCACCTGTAGATTGTACTTGAGGTGCCTCAAAAAGTTGTGTTCACAAACTAGCTGTTCAATATCTCTCTGGAAATGTAAATAATTTAGAGCACTTTGAAGGGAAAATAGAAATTTAACTTCACTTATACAAAAAAATAGGCCTATAGTTAAGAGAAAGTTAGGCAAATAAAACCCTAGGAAATGTGATATTGATTCAAATTTAAAAACATTGAATTTTTATGAACTTGCAGTTCTAAAAAATGAGTATCAGTTTAGAAAAGAATAAGCAATCTACAGCGCCTGAAATAAAACATCCTATTCCAAGAGGACTTCAGTGGGGGTGTTGGTTTGGTTTTAAACAGTTGCACAATTGTTAATGCTCTAACAATGTTAAAGTTGCATTGCCATGCAGATGAATACTTTTTAAATCACATTGGTACTTCAGATGCAGAAATAGAGCTTAAAAAAGCAATGAAGTATTTAAATAATGGTGATGACAATTATGAAAAAGTATTTGGGCATGTTTTTTAAAAAGCAAAATACAAATTACAAGCTCGCCTTGTTTTAATTTATATGGATCATCAAAAAAAATTTTTTTCAACCACTTTAAAGAAGCATTTACATTCCAGAGTGTTGGAAAATGTTTTACATGTTCAAGTCATTCTTTTCATCCGTTTGATTTTATAGAACTACCTCCAAACCATGACCCAACAGATTATTTGCTAGGTTATTTAAAAGATAAAAGACTGCTTCTAAACTGTCCAGTTTGTGGCAATAAAGAATTAAATCACTGTGGCACAACATAAAATCTCAAAATACTAGGATTGTGATTGAGTGTAATATTCCTAAGATTTCGATTTTTTTGCTAATGAATTTGCCAAAAAAAATTGTTATTGAAAAATATTCTTCTTCTTTCGCATGCATAACTCTTGGATTTAATGCTCACTTCACATCTTTGCACTACATGAAAAATCAATGTTTTTTTTATGATGATATGCAAAAAAATGGAAAATTAACCAAGACAATACCATCTAATTGGCTAAATAAAGTTGCAAACCATATCATTTATCTTACTGTTTAATGATTTTTGAACAGATGTAAATGCTACTGTGAAGTTTTTTATTTTAGATTTTAACTTTCAGGTTTTGTTTTTTACTTATTATAGTAAAAATATCATAACATGATATATTGATGTTTTATAATAAATAAAATATGTTTTATATTAATATGGGTAACTTCTATTATTTATATGTAGCTTTTTAAACACTTAAAGCCAGTGAGTTTGTCAAAAATTTGAAAGACGTTTTAGTAAAAGTTTTTCTGTATTAGAGATTTTTTAAACCCATTTGTTTTTATATAGTGTTTAGTTTTGAATACTTTTAGTAATGGTAGAAAAAGGAACTGTTTTTAAAGTTGTTGTTTTTTTATTAATGAATCTGCTGCATCACACACACACACTAACACACACACACACACAAACACACACACATAATAGTTGTTGCTTGCCTTGTTGGGAGTGAATTAGAATTAAAAAGATTTGTAAAATACATTTAAAATTAATTGTATTTATATATATCAGGGTGGTCGCAGTTGGTCTAAAATCCTCTAAACTCTAAAAATATGTATATATATATATGTGTATATATATATATATATATATATATATATATATATATATATATATATATATATATATATATATATATATATATATATATATATATATATATATATATATATATATATATATGTATATATATATATATATGTATATATATATATATATATATATATATATATATATATATATATATATATATATATATATATATATATATATATATGTATATATATATATATATATATGTATATATATATATATATATATATATATATATATCTATATATATATATATATATATATATATATATATATATATATATCTGTGTGTGTGTGTATATACACATACAGGTTGGTATAGTTTTATTTTACATGGTAATACAAATTTTCCCCATTGTTGTAGATAGTTTTATACATTATTGTATATTTTCATGTTATCTAAAACTTCTTTAACATAAATAGATATATATAACATAGACACCCAAAAATTGTGACATGTTATCATCTATTCCAAATGTTTAAAAAAATTACTTTTAAGTATATTTGTGAAAACACTAGCAACCAGCTTCTATGGCAAAATATATAGGTCTCATTAACCAAAGTTTCAGGTAAACATCTATAAGGTTTTTTTTTATTGATAGATTTAAAAAAATAAATTATTTTTAAATGTATTTTAGCCTATGCTGTTGTAACTTTGAAGTTGTGTGAGAGGTCAAGGAATTTAGACGTCAAAGTACACACAAACTAATCTGACTTTAGTCAATATACTACTGTTACGAAGGTAACAATCTTAGTCAAGCGTGCAATTATTGTGAAGGTAGCAACGATACTCACTCAAGCGTATAGTTAGAAAGAAACAATACATGATCAAGCGAGGAGATTAATTACGAAAGCATAAAAACATGAGTAGAGACCGTTGAACCGAGACGTGTCTTATGGTTTCGAAAACAATATAAAAAGGGGAACATATATGATTATATATGAGGAATATATAGGAGGAGAATATATGAGGATATACAGGATAATATAAGGAATATATATAATTATATATAGGAGGGTATAGAGAAGATATATGTGTAGTACAATAGTATGTAATATAGTGGGAGAGTTATATAGGAGGATTAGTTGTATCAATACGTAATATTTGAGTTAAATAATAATTATATAACGCTTTGTATCAATGGTTAGTATTCTACGCGTAACCTTTATTGGAGATGGGCAATTACCCATTGAGTAATTGGGAAACATTACATAACAGGCGAAAACCGCGTAACACTACAAGAATTAAAAATAAAAATAACTTTCAGAAGATTACCAATACTTTCTTCCTGCCATCTTCAAAATGTTTGAAAAACTGTGGATAAATGAAATAACTTATTTACTGTGGATAAGTGAAATAAAAAGTTTATTTAAAAAGAATTTTTCTACTTTATTCTAAAGTGTTACTTTATATGGCAGTAATTTTTGTTTGGCAATTTCTGTTTTCACAATTTTTTCAAACTCAATCACTTTTGATTTAATTCAACTTATTAATTAATAAAAAACAGTTTTAGTCTTCAACGTTGAAATTATTTTTTAAACTTCAATTCGTTGAAGAAACTGTCATTGCTCTAGCATAAGTTGAGATCACGATCGACCTGATGAAAAATTAATAAAAGACAATTAGTTTTTAAATGATCAGGTAAATGCTGGCCTGTATTATATGGCTGGTTGTGTATTATATTTTGTGCATAGCTAATGTAACAATATCAGTCTCTTTGATCCAAAATTAAAATTTATGTTTCGCATAGTAAATTGGGTTTTCTTACTCTTTTGCAGTTCATTCGTTTTTGTTAAGTATTATTTTGTAAAATTTGTTGTCTCTGTAATATAATATGAATGTGCAGCCAATATTTTTTAATTCGCATTTTTTAAATTTTTTATAAATGATAGAGCTTAAATATATTTATTATTATATTATTGTTTAATAACTTAAATGTTTTACTTTTTTTCCCGTTGCACAGTGAGTCAGAAAGGTGAATAAACGGCAAAAAACCCCCCATAAAAAACTTTTGCTAGAAAATAAATAATTAGTTTATAATGTCACTAAATACCACTTAAAGACAATAAATAATTTTTTTTTTGAATAATTTTTAAGATTTCACCAATTTATACGTCTTTTTCCGAGACTTATTTATTTTATTTATCGGAAAAGCCGTTCAAAAAAGTCTCGCTTTAGTGTCACTCTTTTAAGATTGATATAGGTAAAAACAGTTCAAAATTTAATTTGAAGTCATATGTTTAAGATGTTTGGTAACTATTAACAACATTTTTAACAATAAATTTTAATTTTAGATTTTCATTACTGAGATCTCAAAATATGTTATAAATTAATTTTTTTAAATTAGTTTAATTAAGAGTTTAGTTCAAAAACTAAAAGATTCCACTAGATTCCATGGTAGTTTTAATGTTTTCCCATTAATAGGTATATATGAAAGCAGAAAAAATAAAAATCATTTGCCCTAACTTGCCCCAATTAAAATAAGACCAATTAAAATAAGTATTTTTTTTCCCCTTTTTTAATTATAACTTGCTCATAAAGTAGCGAACAATAGTTCATTGCTTGCATTCATCACACAAATAATACATTTAGTTCCTATTACTAAAAAAACTCATGCTCAAGCAGATGGTTCTAATTATCAAACCTCAAAACAAAAATATGCAGTATTTGATGTTATAGGGCATATTTTAAAATTCAAACTTGCGTGTAAAATAACTAACAATAGTTCTTTGCTTACATTAAACATGAAAAGAATACATTTAGTGCCTATAATTCAAGAGTTAGGAATTAATCATGATAATTTACTCGAAGCTCTTATACGTGAGTTTTGTAGAGGGTCTGTACTATGAAAGTATTGACAAACCTAAAATGTTAAATCTAAAGAAAACTCAAATAATATTTAAATGTAAATTCCGATCAAAATTGCAGAAATATTCAAGAACCTTCTCTAGACTTTTGGAAAACGAGCAAACTTGGTTGAACAAAGATGTAACTGTTGACAAAAAAAACTTTGCAGCAGGTCCAGGCAGAAAGAGCAAGAACTGGGAAGATTTAGGTGATAGAAGCAGAAGATCTAAGGTAATAATAAATAAATTAAGTTCAACCCAGTTTGAAAAAATAATTTACAAACTTAAATATTATCTTGTTTAAGGTTGCCAAATTGGCTGAACATCCTGCTGAAGCATTGGCATTAGCTTCAATTAAAAAAGCCACTAGAAATCCTACCAAAAAAGATTTCGTTGTTCTCATGAAAAGTGCAACAAACTCTGAAAAAGTTAATATCACGGAGATAAATTTTCCGATAAAAATGAAAACCGAAGATGCCTTGAGCTTAAAAGTTCAGTGTGACCTTTCTGATGAGCAGTATGAAGTTATTAGAAATTCATCAATAATACATAATGCAGATATTTATCCAAGATATCAAGAAAGAATGTTATGAAAAACCAGTACCATTACCTCTTGATTAGAAGTGATCCTGTAATATCAAACATTTGTTTCAAAAAATACAAGGTTGAAAATGGAAAAAACACTTACCCCTGAAGTTTTATCTTTGTTAATGCTGTAATAATGAATTACGGCCTTTTTATAACTTTAGGTTTTCTTTTTTTATTTTCTTGAAAGAAAAATTAGATGAGATAAATATTTATTTTGTATTTAATATACTTTAATATTATTATAATATTAAAAGATTTTTTGAATCCAATTTTTCTTTTTAATAAGTACATGTTTTCGTTTGAAGAATTTAATTTTTTTAAATTAAGTCTTTGTGCGCGTAAAAGACTATAACACGTATACGCGTGTATACGTGTAAGAGTCTTATATGCGTGTACGACCCTTAGGCACAAGAAAAATTTACATTAAAAAATATGTGGTATTTTTTTATATGGTATTTTAGATCAAGGAATGCGATTTATTTATTTAAATCATATTTTGCGCGCGTAAATGACACTTACACGCGTAGGCTTGCGTTGTACGCGTCATAGGTACGCGTAAAAATTTTTCAATAACATATTTAAATTTTTTGACCCAAAATACGATAGTATTGATATATCACTCGTTTATATATGAAAGTTATATAATTTTTGCCGTTTTTTCACCTTTCGGACTCACTGTATGTCAATCCTGTCCTCGCCACTTCATAAAATAAGTGACTACATAAAAAGAAATGTATGGTTTTAGTAATCCTTGATGTGGCAGTATAACTCTTACTTGTTTAGGTTATTTAAGCAAGGAATTTTCTCTAGAAATTCACCTAAACATGGTAAAAATGCATGTTATCTAAATAATGCAAAAATTGATATCTAAATAAACTCAGAGAAAAGCTTGATATATTAGGAAACCAAATATTTGTTGGTATCTTATCTAAAAATGATAACATTTGTTATCATTTTTAGATAAAATGAAAATAAATTTTTATTTAACGTGGCTTTTAATAAACAGAAGCCGTGGCGCAGTGATAAGAATTATAACTCAGAACGAGGAGGCTTCATGCGGGCTTTAGCCCAATAACCGTCATTGGAAGGGAAAAAAACTTTAGATAAACGTTCCTCCGCTGTGTTAACTTACAGCTTTTTGGAGAAACTTAATTAATTCACACGAGTTTATTTTAAATTTTTTATAGTTATTTTAAATTTTTTATTCTAAATTTTTAAATTAATAAATTTCAATCAAAACTAATTATTTTAATGTCAGTGAGGCTTCTACCTTTCTAAGTTCTTTGTCAACTTTTTTCTTAGTTCTTTGTCAACTTTTTTCTTAGTTCTTTGTCAACTTTTTTCTTAGTTCTTTGTCAACTTTTTTCTTAGTTCTTTGTCAACTTTTTTCTTAGTTCTTTGTCAACTTTTTTCTTAGTTCTTTGTCAACTTTTTTCTTAGTTCTTTGGCAACTTTTTTTTCGCTGTTAAGCCTAAATATCCAGAGTATGAATAAAAATTTTGAAAACTTTAAAAAAATGTTAGAAAATTTAAACTACAAATTTAGTGTAATATGTCTAACAGAAACCTGGTTTCAAATCGGAGATGATTCAAATTCAAATTTTTATTTATCGGGTTATAAATCAATTCATTAGGCAAGAAAAAAGGGCATCGGTGGAGGAGTGTGTATTTTTGTTTTAGATTCTTTTATTTTCAAAAAGATAGAAAACCTTTGCACAAATAATGCAGACTGGGAGTCGATAACTATTGAGATATTCAATCAAAAAGCTGAAAATAATTTCATTACTGCTTTATACCGACCACCCAATGGCAATTTCGAACTATTTCAAAAACATCTAGAACGCATATTACCTGAGACAAGTAAAAACATTTATTTAACAGGTGACTAACATAAACCTTTTAAATACAAATTGCGATTCCAACGTCAGGCGCTTTGTAAATACACTTCTTCAGCACAGTTTTATAACACTTATAAACAAACCGACGCATGTAACTTCTTTAACTTCTTCAATCATTGACAATACTATAACAAATAACTACATGCTTTATAAAACTAAAAATGGTATCATAAAATCCGATATAAGTGACCATTTTCCAAATTTTCTGATAATCAATCGCATAACTATTGAAGATAATAATTCCTCTACCACCTACGTCAGACAAATAAACAACAATTCTATCAAAAAATTTTGCAATTTATTACATGAAACCAATTGGGAACTCATAGCTGAGTGCAATGATGCAAATAATGCTTACCCAGCAAACATGTAAGCGTTGAATCAACGTTGAAAACCGGTCGCAAAAGATGTTGCGGAAACGTTGACAAAGTAATTGATTTTGCAAAGATATGTAACGTTGTTAAAGAGACGTTGATTAAACGTTGTAGCATAACGTTGAAAAAATGTTACTAAAAAACGTTACAAAAATGTCGCAACTAAACGTTGAAAAAGCGTTAGGTGAAAAGCGTTGCACAAGCGTCGCAACTTAACGTTGAAAAAACGTTACTTGAAAAGCGTTACTTTAACGTTATTAAAGCAGTCGATTTTGCAAGGATTTGTAACGTTGGTAGTATAACGTCGATCTAACGTGACTCAAAGACGTCGAGTAAAGGTTGAAATATAACGTTGAATTAACGCTTAAATGCGCTGGAGAAAATATCGCAAAATACTATTAAACGTAATTAAACTTGGCTATAATATATGATGAATTGGCAAATAAAACTAAATTGTATGTTGAACTCTGCACTTGCAATATTTTCAAAATCGATTTTTAATAGAAACAGTAATATACAATAAAAATTATAAAAATATACCATTTATTTTTACAATTTTTCAATTTATAGATATATAAATAAAAATATAATTTTTTTTTTAAAGATTTATATGTGTGTGTGTGTGTGTGTGTGTGAGTGGATTTACAGGATATTGTATCGATAGGACAGGATATCATTAAGATACAGAAACTAAATCGAAAAATAAAACTTTTATCATTAGCAGTCTGATAGCAAATGTTTAAGAAAATGTTATTGAATTAGTATGATCATTATAAAATTTAAAAAGTTAAAGTAAATATATATAGAAATAATTTATACATATATGTATATATATATATATATGTATATATATATATATATATATATATATATATATATATATATATATATATATATATATATATATATATATATATATATATATATATATATATATATATATATATGTATATATATATATATATATGTATATATATATATATATATGTATATATATATATATATATATATATATATATATATATATATATATATATATATATATATATATATATATATATGTATATATATATATATATATATATATATATATATATATATATATATATATATATATATATATATATATATATATATATATATATATATACAAAGACGTATTTGAATTTTTGGCGCCCTGGGGCACTGTTCCTTTAAGCGCCCTTTTTTAAGAATAATGTCAACTTTGATATGGGGTGATCATTAAAAAAAAAAACATTTTCTATACCAACATATATTAAGTTATATTAATCACTATAGAAAATTATAATTTTCTATGTGAGTTTTGTTTTGCAAATGTATTTATAATGTCATTAAAGTTCATATCTATGGTAAGTACAGATTCTATAGATAGAATTGCTAACCTATTAAGACGATCACTTGTCATTCGCGACCTCAAATAAGATTTAACCCTCTTTAATGCTGAAAATGATCTCTCGGCTGAACAATTGGACGTTGGGCAGCATAGATATATTCTTAATGCTATATCTACATAAGGAAACAGCTCTTGAAGATTTTCAGTTCTGATCATTTTATAAACATCTATTATAGTTTTAGGTCTTAAGTTTTCAGTTAAACTCATTAAATAACTTTTGAATTGTATACACTCGTTAGCAAATGAAGACGAAAGATCATTTTTATATACATTTTGAAGTACCTCTGCTTTTTTGTAAACTTCTGATGGCGAAAGTTTTATTATTTGAAATAAAAAGTTAAATTTTTTATTGGCTTCATCATAGCACAATTTTCTTCTTTCTAGTTCAGAATGAAGTTTATCAATTATAGCATAATATGTATTAATTCTTAAAGAGTCTCGAATTTCAAAATTTGTTTCTTCTTCTCTTTTTTCATCTGCAGTTAGTTTTCTTTTTCTTTTGCGTATTTTTCGATATGTTTTGTGTCCTGACTTATTTATTGCTCTCTCTTCATAGATATCAAACATACTCCTTAAATCTAATACATATCAAATTAAAGATTCGTATAAACTTACAACTGTTTCTAAACCAATCTCAACTGACTGCAATTGTTTGCTAGTTTTGTTGAATCTCTCTAGTATATCGCCCCATAATGTGGCCATTATAGCTGTTTCAAGACTATCCAGTTTTAAATATAGCCCGTTAGTTTCTGATCTTGTAATAGATTTTTCTGTTTTATCATCTTTGATAAAAGACAGTGCATTAATTATTTCAATCCAATTTTTGTTTAAACTAATACTTGCATCAGATCTTGCTGACCATCTGGTGTCTGATAGTTTTTTAAGAGATACATTTTCTGTTTTAATCAAATTCTTCTGAAGTATTTCCTATCTATAAGTAGAGGCACTGAAAAATTTATAAATATTTTGAAGCAGAATAAAAAATTCAGAAGCATAAATACAACAGTCCACAGCGCACTCACCAACAAGATTTAAAGAGTGTGCCGAGCATGGTACAAATGTTGCTAAAGGATTAACTTTTTTAATGCGAGCTTGAAGTCCTGTGTATCTACCAGACATATTAGACGCATTGTCGTAACTTTGACCACGACAATTATTAATATCTAATCCATGCGATTCTAAAACTAAAAATACAGCATCTGCTAATTCTTCAGATTTATGACCAGAATTAGGTAAAAACCCTAAAAATCTTTCTACCGGACAGCCATTCTTTTGAACATACCGAAAAACGAATGACAGTTGATCTACATGGCTAATGTCAGGAGTAGAATCAATACTGATGGAAAAGTATTTAGCTTCCTTTATTTCTTTCACCATTTGTTGAATAACATTATCTGCCATTATACTTATGAACTGCTCATATATATTAAATGATAGGTATGATGTTGAACCTTTTCCTTTATTTCCAAACTTCTCAATGTGTTGTGCTAAAAAAGGATCAAACTGAGCAATAAGCTCTAAGCTCATCATAAAGTTCCCATTATGAACAGATCCAAAACGGTCATCATCACCTCTAAAAGACATTCCACGAGAAGAAAGGGATTTCACAACAGCTACAACTCTTGTCAATACATTTTTCCAATAATTTATTTCTGTTTCTACTTGATACTTTAGCTTTTGATCAACTCGATTTAATACTTCTTTTCTTTCTTTCATATTCATTACACACAATTTGTGGTGTTGTGAACTTTCATGACGCTTGATTTTTTCTTCTCCTTTTTTCCAATCTGAAAAACCAACTGTGGCAAACGATGTAGTGCCACCAAATAAATAGCAGGGAGCACAAAATATTGATCCTTTACTTTCTGAGTAAATCAAAAATGTTCGGTTAATTTTTTCACCATTAACAAGAGTAGATATAAATATACTTTTTGACATATATCGAAAACGAGTACGTCTTACCCCACCAATTATTTGAGTGTAAATTCTTTTTGACTTTTAGAAATTATTGTTCTCTAAATTTTGGTTAAATCCATTGATTGATAAATAATCTATCGTTTCTTGATTTTTTATCCAATTGGCAGGATCATTTCTAAAGGGAAAATATATTTGTTTAATATACAAAAACCAAAAAATATTATTCAAAGTTTATAACAAATTGTATGAAAAAAACATTCAAGCATTAGGTAATAGAGATAAATGCATAATATAATATAACTAGAGGATATAGGTATCGTTTAAAATGTACAGAGTGTACTATATTTGTTAATAATTTAATTTCCAGCATAATTTTACATGACAAGCGACTTAAAAAAATAGTCTACCTTTGTACATGTTTATAATTGTAACCTACCATGAAAAAAATTAAAAAAAGCTTACTCAGGAACAATACTTTGTTTAGGAAGATTGTTATGTTCAACCATTGGCAAACGTGGTGTATCATTTATTTCTTCCGATTCTGTAGACAATAGAGTTTTACTCGTTTCTGTGCTGCTGTTATTTAGTAATATAAGATTGTCTGGATTTGTTAGATTATCTTTATTAACAGTGAATCTGTGATCATTTTATTTTCTATAGAGAAAAATATAATAAATTTTGTATAACATGCATGTACCAAAAGATATTATTTATAAATTATATCAAATTTTAAATAAAGATTTTACAATAAACATTCGGGCTTGTTATGTTCATGCATGGACAAACAGGGTGTTTCATTTACTTCTTTGGATTCTGGAGTCAATAGAGTTTTACTAGTTTCAGTACAGCTCTTACTTGATAATATTAATATTAAATCGTCTGGATTTGATAGGTTATTCTCATTAACAATAAAGCTGTGATCATTTTCATCGCTTGTATTATTTACATTTTCAACTGAAAGCATAAATAACGATTACTACACATATCTACATTTTACATATAAATTATTTACATTTAATAATAAATAACATAACAATATGAAGTATAAACAATAAATAACAGAACAATATGTACCTATATGTATATATATTTGCTAGAAAGCAAAATTAATAAAACGTATGGTTTTCTAGCTAAATAAACTTACCCGGCGATGTGTGAAGCTGTTTATCTGTAAAGCTAAAATATGTTTCTAACTTAGCAGTCTTTAAAAGTATTTTTGCTTGAGCTTCATTTTTTGCATGGGTTCGTTTTCGGTTTTCTGCGCCACTAAGCTTTTTACTATGAATCATCATTGCTTTTTAAAATAAGAATCCTAAAAAGTGTGTATTATATATATATTGTTATCATATATATATGATAACAATAATGTTAATACTAAAACTAAAAACAATAATCGAAATACGAATATTTACCTTTTTCAAGACTGTATACTGTAATACAAGGGATTAAGCAGACAACATACCGAAGAACAAAATACTTAGGCCAACAATAAAAAAAACTGGCAGCAATCTTAAAAATTCAAAATTATATTGTGCACACGTGGTATATACAAGATGGTTAGCAAAAAAGGCGAACAAAGTCAAATTGCTAATTTAATATAATTAATGCGTAATTTATTCTGCTCATCACTTCAAATTATATAAAAATAAATTAAAAAACAAACTGATTATTTAAAGTTTAAAGTATTTTTAAAGAGTTTTTTTTTTTTAGAAAATGTAAAGAGAATCTTTGAAGAATTATTTCATTTTTTAAAAGTAAATAGCTGTGTCTATACCTTAGTATTTCTGTTAATAAAGTCAATTAAGAGTAAAATGAAAATGTTAGGTAAAACGCACCATTTATTTTTTTCTAGTATATTATTTACTAATTAATAAATAGGGATCAAGTATTTGATTAACAAAAATTATAAATCATTTATTCAAAAAAAATATATAAATTTTATTTATATTAAGATTAGATAGTATATTAAATAAGAACACTCGTAGGAGTAGACCTCGGAGCGCCAGCGTCAGAGTGATGAGCTTAACCGTTAAGCTATCGCTACATACCGTATCATTAAAATATTTATAATAAATAAATAATTTGTTTATATACGTGACTTTCAGTATCAAATCAACATTTTTAGATGAATAATTGGCGCATAATTATGTATAATTTGCAAGTTTAATTTGATCTCCTTTTGATTGATATTTTCTTCTGCTAACTAAATTTTTCTAAAATCAACTAGAGATATTTAGTAAGTCGATAAGTAGGTCTATGATTTGAACATAATAATAATATAAAAACTTTCGTGAAATGATATAAATAGACTATTTTACAATTTTCTAAAATTCTAACATTCTGAAAGCTGGCGCCCTGTCAAAACATGGCGCCCGGGGGCCAAAGCTCCCCCTCGCCCCCCCGTAAATACGTCTCTATATATATATATATATATATATATATATATATATATATATATATATATATATATATATATATATATATATATATATATATATATATATATAAACATATATATATATATATATATTATTATTTTATAAACATCAATAAATACGATTTTCTCTCAATACTAAATTTATTTTTTATTTTTTAAAAGAAATTTTCGCTGGATTGTTGTGACCAGCGTCTTCAGCTTAAAAGATTTTGTTTGTTTTAGTTAATATGTTATTTTTAAACGGCAATTTTGTTATATGTCAATGGAATGGTTTCGTCTTTTTCTGACGTAAGTGCATTAGAAATGGTGTCCAGAATTTGTTGACACATTTTGTCCCTCATCTAAATTGATACCACTTTGTTGAGGGGCACATTGGTGGTACTGTATTTCAAGCGCCTCACGAACTTTCCTATCAAACTTTTTTTTATTGACTTTTAGAGTTCTGCAACTGTCCCAGTTAATTTGTTGTGCACAATGTTTCATGTGTGTGGCTAATGCTGATCTTTCTGTTTTATTTCCTATTGTACTGTTTTTGTGTTGTTGCATGCGTGTTTTTATTTGCATTTTTGTTTCACCAATATACTTTTTGTTACAATGGCACTTAATAAGGTAAACTCCTGGGTGGCTGTTCCTTTGTAGTTTGGATTTATTTCTTGAAGTCAATATTGCTTCTAGGTTTAAGTTTGATTTAAAGACCGTTTTATATCCTGCCTTCTTAAACACTTTACGCAACTTGGGAGACAATATTGGTACCCAAGGTAATGAAATTGTTGGATACGTACTGGTAATGTTGTCAATGTTTTTCGTAGTCACTAGAGGTTTTTTGTACTTTCCTTTTATTTCTTTTATGATTTTTATAAGATTGGAATATTTGTAACCATTTTCGATAAATACTTGAATAAGGAATTTCAGTTCATTTTCTATATGTTTCTGACTGCATACATTAAATGCTCTATGTACAAAACCCTTGAATATTCCATTTAAAATTTGTGGGTCATGGTTTGATGTTGCCTTAACTTGAATGTTAGTAATTGCATTTTTTCTGTGTATTCTAAATTCGTATTTGCCATTTTTGTTATTTATTATGCATAAGTCTAGAAAATTTATTGTTTTTTTGTCATTTTCAAATTCGATTGTATATTGTATTTTTGGATGCTGTTGGTTAAGTATTGTCTTGAATTGATTAGCCTGGGCAATGTTAGGGACTCTAGCATGGCTGTCATCTACGTATCTATAAAATGATTTTATGTCAATAATCGGGTTGGTTTTCAGCGCTATATTAAGCGCTCTTTTTTCAAGATTTTGAAGAAAAGATTCAGCTAAAACTACCATAAAAGAAAGACCTATTGGACCTGAATTTTCAAGTTCATGTATTTCATTGTTCCATAAAAAGTATGGTCGGTATAAACATAGTTCTATCAGTTTTTATTTCTTTTATATTTAATTTTGTCATTTTTTTAAAATTATCGCTCACTTCCAATATACTTATTAGTACATCGATTGCTTTTTTAAGTGGAATAGACGGGTATAAGTTTATAACGTCTAATGATATCTGAATTTTGTCACTGGATATGTCCCATGATTTTGCTTTTTCTACAAATTGTTGCGAATTTTTTAATCAAGTTGGGTTTTCATTTAATATTGGTTGTATTAGTTTTACTAAGTAATTTGAGATTCCGTAGTTTGGTGTGTCTATTGTAGATACTACAATTCGCATTGGATAAGATTTTTCAGGTTTATGTGCCTTTACTACACCATACATACGAGGTGGTATTGGGTCACTGGGATAAATTTGCTGATATTCATCTTTTGTGAACCGACCTTTTTTATTTAATTTCGATAGTTGGACTTTGATTTTTATTGCGTAACTTTGTGTCGGATCTTCATTGATTATTTTAGTTAGCCCAATTTGTTCTCGAATCTTTCTTATTGCTTTATCATGAGGGATTGTTACAAAGCCTGTTCTTTTATTAAATGGGTATATATCAATATTGCTATCTTTTTTTAGTTGTGTAAGTGCTTTTCGTTGTTGACGAGTCAGGTTGTCATTTTTATTATTTTTATTTAGTTTTAATTCTCATAAAACTTCTCTCCTCAGAGTTTGTGCAGCTTCATCTTTTTTGTTGTACTCAAGTTTTAGAGCAGATGACTCAGTTATTGAGACAATGTCAAGATATGGAAGAGATTTTGTTGTTGGTACAAATTTTGGTCAAAGGTTAAGGAGACTTTTTTGATGTTCTGGAATTTCTGTGTCGCATAAGTTTAAAACAGCTTTTTTAGTATAGATTGTTGAATGAGATATTCGCTTAACGCGTTGATTTTGAAGAAGTTTGAATTTTTTAATTAATCTGTCTTTTGATTTCACGAACATATTTTCTCGTGCTTTTTCAGTGATTCTTTTAACGGCCTCATAATCATTCGTTTCAAGTTTTGTTGTGAGTTTTTGAAAATTTGGCAGCTAGAATAAACGAGCGCCTAAAAAGTGATAAAGAATCTCATATATTTAAACACTTAAATTTATCTATTAATTTTAAAAATCTGAGTAACTGTATTCTTTTAAGATTTTGAATAATGGCCTAACAAA